ACAACGCGGGGTGGGGGTGGGGGTGGGGGTGGTGGAGCCCGGGAGTACTCGGAAGAGGCCGAAAGCCCGAGGACGAGCGAGGACGAGCGTACCGGGAACCCGAGGCGGCCCCTCCCACCTGCCACCGCCTGTCCACCCATGAGCACCCCCGGACGGCCTCGTCCGGCCAGTGGGCGTCGCCCCCGCCCAGTGGAGACGGTCAGCCCACCGGCCCGACCCACCCGGGACCCTGCGCCGGCCCCAGCTCTCAGCCTGGACGGCCCTCCAGGGGGAAGCCCCAGCCCCCGCCCCCGCCCTTCACGGGAACCCTGCACTTCTCGCCCCACTCTATCACTTATTCGATCCTTCCCTCCATCCTCGGGGACTCTAGCGTCAGATCACAAGAGTTTCAGGCCTGACTCGGCTCTTCACTCCCTCTGTGACCCCTGGCAAGCGACTTCACTGCTCCGTGCCTCAGTTTCCTCAACTGCCAAAAGGAACAAGAGAGGTGCAGCGTTCCGGGGCCGCGGATACTGTGTAGACGGTGCCAGTTACAGTGCCAAGTCCCCAGTGAGCTCAGTCGACAATAGTTGTTCGGCGGAGGGGGTGGGGAAGTGTCAGGTATGGGGCGATCTGAAATAATCCTTCTCATTCCTGCCCCTGCCGATGGGACACAAGCCAAATGCCCTGACTTTGCCACTCAGTGGGACAAAGACCCTTCCCCTCCCAGGAAATCCCGCATTCACCCCAAGACCCCAGGGCCTATCGCTGGGACTAACTCAATTCTCTCTGATCCCAAAGCATCTACTCCTAGCCTGGCTCCCCGATACTGTGCTAATCCTGGGGGGGGAGGGGTCCTCCCTGGTCAGTAGGGGAGGGAGGGGACAGACAGGCCTGCATTGAGAACCGGCCATCAGTGAGGATGCTCCGGGAGCGCAGGAGGCCCCTGGCCCAGAGGAGGGGACAGGTGAGTTTGAGTCTTAAAGGATCACTTCAAGGGTGCAGAATCACTCCTGGCAGAGGGACCTGCGGGTGTAAAGGCCCAGAGGGAGGGAAGACAGGAGGCAGAGAGCAGCTGGAGAGGGTCGTGGAGAAAGATAACAGGAAGCCCTATTGAAAAGTTTGGGGCTTAGACGTGGGGACACCAGTGGATGATTTTAAGCTGGGGGGTGATTTGAACTGGTTGTTTTACAAGTTCAGGCCTGCCGAACATTTTAGAGGGGTAAGACTGGGCGCAGAGACAGAAATACCAAAATAACAAGTTTAAAAAACGTATATGGTAGCTAACATTTCCTTAGGCACTGCGCTAGCCATCTCCTTTTATTCTCACACACCCCTTTATTCTACGAAAAGTTATATCCCCAATCTGCAGATGGGGAAACTGAGGCTCCGAGAGGCCTTCCTATTTTGCAATGAGAACCCCCACCTGTGAGAACAGAGGCCCTGCCTGAAGCGGGCTGATCTCCGTTTCCTCCAATACACCCATCCACTCCAACCCCAGAAAAGCTGTGGCCAGGGGTTTCCTTTTTAAAAATCAAAAATGCATGTTGCATTTCCGGCCTGCAAGCCGGGGCTGCCCGCGCGGCCCGGGGGAGGGGGCCTGCGGGCGCGGATGAAGTTTTTCTCCTCCGCCTAGGGGGCCCCCATCCGGAGGCAAACACACTGGCGAGCGCGCCCAGCGGCTCCTCCTCCCCCAGATGCGGCCAATCGCGCGGCGCCAGGACGGCTGCCCCCACCTCCCTCGCTAGCCCTGCCCCGCTTCCCGCCACCGAGCCCACAGCCGGCGCGGCCCAGCCAGGCTGAGGGTTGGCTCCGCCTCCCGCGTGCGGCGCCCCCTGAGCCTCGCCGCACCGCACCGCTCCGCGAGCCGCCCCATGCACTCTCTAGCCCGAAGGCGAAAGCGGTGGGGGATCGGGGCAAGGCAAGGGGGGAGCTTTTCCCGCACGCAGGAAAAAAGTAGGCAGGCGGGAAGTGCCACCCGACGTCCGCCTCAAATCCTGCTGCAGCCACACCTACCCCTTGCCCTGCGGATGAGTGACTCGCGCTCCCCAAACAGGCCAGGGCGGCTGGGGCTTTTCCTAGGGGCCTAGAGAAACCCAGCCTCGAGCCCCCCGCCGGAGAGCTAGAAGGGGTTGGATGGGGGCAGTGGACGCCGGGGCCCCATCCCCGCGGCTCCCGGGGCCTCGAGGCGGGGGCGCCCACCACGCCCCTCCTGGGTGACCCCCCCCCGAAAAGCTCCCTACCGGGTTAAGCGCCCTGTTCCGCCGGCTGCTTCGCTCCGACTGGGAGAGAGGAGCTGGGGAGGGGGCGTGGCCCGGGAGGGCGGGGTCGCCTCTGCCCCGCCCCCAGGAGCTCCCCGCCAATGGGGCCGCGGGCCAGAGCCCGGGAGGGTAGGGGCGGGGCGGGCGGGAGCGGCCCCCGCAGGACCTTTGTGTCTGCGCCCGGGACTCGCGGGAGCGCGGGACGCGGGGCCCAGGGGACGCGGCCCTTCGCCCAGCGGGCCGGGCGGAAGGGCGGGGCGGGGCGGAATGCCCGCCTGTGGCTACGCCCCGGTCAGAAACCAGCCCCTGAAAAGTGGGAGAGTCGGGTCCTTGCGCCCGTGCGGGTCCCTCCCCTCATCAACCATGTCGCGTCCAGCTCCCACCTGCCCTTGGCTGCAGGATCCGGATAAGGCTGGGGCGCTCCGTCTTCAGTAGAAAGAAAGAGATAAAGAAATGAAGAGAGAGGCAGAAGGGAAATAAGCGAAAAACAGAAGGGAGGAAAAGGAAAACGAAAAAAATGCAAAAAAAGGAAAAACAGGGAGGGGGAGCTGTTGGTTTTGTTCTTTTCTTTCTTTTAAATTTTTACTTCCACCCCCTCCTTGAGTCCTCTGTCTCTGGAGGTAAATGGTGTCACTCCCGTTTTACAGGAGAGGAAACTGAGGCACAGAGAGAGGTGACCTGTCCACGTCGGTCATGGCAAGTTGAGAGCAGCCCCTGAACACGCGGGCGCAGCCCCAGAGACCCAGAGTATTCGGGGGGGGCTCAGGGAAGGGGAGCGGTATCCCATACTTCTGGGACAACAGGGCCCATGTGTGGGGTTAGCACCCCAGTCCCTCTGCCTGCCTCAATCCAGCCACTTTGACACCACGCTGAGGGCCACTTTGGAACAGGCCCAACAACAAAACCAACTGTTCCAAGTCAGGCGAGGAACACTCCTAGACTCTGATGGGAATGTAAACGGAGCAGCTGTAGAAACAAACCATAAACAAACGTAGAGTCACCGTAGGACCCAGCAGTTCCACTCCCAGGTATGTTAGATAAATGGAAATGTCGATCCACACAAAAACGGACTTGTACACAGGTGTTTATAGCAGTATTATTCATAACATCGAGAAAGTAGAGACTACCCAAACAAATGGCCATCAGGTGATGAATGGATAAACAGAATGTTGTGTATCTATACAATAGAAAATTATTAGGTCATAAAAAGGAATGAAGTATCGATACATATTACAATGTGGACGAACCTTCAAAACATTTCAAATGAAAGAAGGTAGCCCCCAAAGGCCACATGTTGTATGATTCTATCTACATGAAATATCCAGAATAGGCAAATCCTTAGAGACAGATAGTACATTAGTGATTGCTTGGGGGTGAGGGTGGGGTGGTGGATGAGGGATGATAGCTAAAGGGTACAGAGTTTCTTTCTGAGGTGATGAAAATGTTCTAAAATTGTTTATGGTGATGGTTGCCCAACTCTGTGAATGTACTAAAAACCGTTGAGTTGTACACTTTCAATGGATGAATTGTATGGAATGTGGTTTATGACCCAATAAAGCTGTTATTAAAGAAGTCAGACAAGTGGGGACCCTGGGGTGGGGGCAACGGGTGGGCTGTAACCAGGAGGAGCACAAGGTGGGATTCCAGGATTTAGTCAAGTTCTGTCCCTCAGTCTGGGAGCTGGGTACACAGTGGTTCACTTTATGAAAATTCATCCAGCTCTTTAATAACACATTTTTTAAAAGGCCCAGCAGAAGCACAGAATTCCACCTCCCCATTTTACAGAGAGTAAAACTGACACAAAAGAAAAGTGGAAATATCTTCCCTGGAATTACACAAGAGTCTAAAAACTGTCCAGGCTGGGGCTGGGGTAGATACTACTCACCATGGGAATAAAATTTAGGAAGGTGCTTAAAAACTCAAGAGTCAAGATAAATAATATTTTAATACAATATTTTTAAAAATCAAAATTAATCCAAAAAAACCTTGATGAGCAAAATATCAAAATTTTAAATACAGATGACATGTAACAGGGCCTTGGCACAACCCTATATCACTCACCTCACTGTAACCCTGGCTCTCATATTTAGGGTCAAAAATTTGGGGATCAATCACAAAAAAGAAACTGGCCCTTGATATCTTTTGGGCTTCATCAAGACAGGGGGAGGCAGTGATGACCACCGAACTGCTGCAGGAAGTGCCCCGGTCTCTCCCAAGCCAGGGCAGTGGGGGGCCGAGGACCTTTGCCACACACCCCCAACACATGCAACCAGCCCAGTGATGACCACCCACCTGTAGCAAGAAGGGCCCCGGGTTCCCGAGCTGGGGTGGTGGGGAGCAAGGGTTTTTGGCATACCCCCCTGACATCTGCACCCAGCCCAGCAATGACCAAGCCACCCTTGGAAGCCCCCTGGTCTCCCCTGTGGGAATGAGGGCAGGCCTCAATCCTGCCCCTCCTCCTTCTTCTATCCCATTTCCTTCCCCTTCCCCCTCTCCCCCTCCCTCCCAGCTGCTCCACATCATAGAATGTAAAAATACAATAATATTAATAAAAACAATTTTTTTTAAAGACAGAGGGAGGCTGGCTGGTTAGCTCAGGTGATTGGAGCATGATGTTGGTAACACCAAGGTCCAGGTTTCAGATCCCCATACCAGCGAGACACCAAAAAAAAAAAAAAAGACAGAAGGCCACCCCCAGCTGACACCATTGTCCCCACCATTCTTACTTTGCCCCCACACTGAAGTATTTATTCCCTTTATATGCTTTTTAGTCCTTCCAAGGAACACTCCAGGTGAATATATTCTTATCCCACACCACAGGTAAAGAAATTGACTCATGATGAGCTTCCCCAGGTAAGTGGTCTATACTGGTCCATTGGCCTTTCCGTGCCTCAGTTAACTCATCTGTAAAATGGTTCTTGTGAGAGGTCATGAGGTAACCATTGGAAACTCTTAGCCCAGTAGCTGTCACCCCATAGGAGCTCAACAAATATTCGGTCCCTTCTTCCAACACTGAAGCCCCTCAGAATTCCACCCCTGCATCAGCTCACTGGGTTAGAGCACGGTGCTCTCAACACCGAGGTACAGGGTTCCATCCCTGTACCAGCCAACCACCAAAAAAACCCCCGAGATTGGTGGCATTTTGTTCCCCCTCCAAGGAGTCCTCAGCTTGGTGAGGTGGCAAATGCCAGGATGCCATGGGGCACACTGGATATCGTCACGTGGACACTCCAGGCAGAGGTTGATACCATCCAAGCCCACACCTCCTTCCTCCCAACTCAGGGGTAGGCCACCACCTTCTGAGGGCATTTTGGGAATGTGGGAGGGAGGGTTACCCCAGTGACTCAGGGGTGCTCCTGACAGGTTGTGAAGGCACAGTACCGCAGTGCCTGGCACATGAGGGGGTGCCCCATCCCCATAGCTTCTAGCACCGCACCCTGCAAGTGTGTCGGTGGAACTTAGAATTATCCAAGTCAATTTTTTTTATATTTATTTTTTTGCTGCTGGCTGGTATGGAGATCCGAACCCTTGACCTTGTTGTTATAACACCACACTCTAACCAACTGATCGAACCAGCCAGGCCTTGTCCAAGTCTAGAACCTAACTCCACCTAACCTGAAACCCCAAGTCTTCTCATACAGTTTTAAAGTCTGACATCCAAATTGTTCAGAAGAATCCATGAATTTCCTAGGGAGACAAGTACTGCTTGTGCTTGGGCTGCTCAGATTGCACCAGGAGGCCTGCTGGGGGAATCATGTTTCTGACGGCCACACCCACACCCTCAGACATTCTATGAACACAGGGACCTTGTTTCAAAATGTCAACAAGAGGTGCCAGCAATATTTGATTGAATACTGTCTTACTCCTGTGTTGTTGTTTTATTTCGAAAGACTTTGTTTTTTAGAGCAGTTTAGGTTCACAGCAAGATTGAGCAGAAAGTACAGAGATTCCCACATATGCCCTGTCCCCACACAGGCACGTCCTCCCTCACTATCAGCATGACCACCCAACTGATGCATTTGTTACAGTTGATGACCCCGCACTGACACATGTGATCACCACTCTCCTGGTGCTGTGCATTCTATGGGTTTGGACAAATGTGTAATGTCATGTGTGACAGTATCATGTAGAGTATTTTCACTGCCCTAAATATCCTCTTCTTTTTAAAAAAAATTTTTTTGTGGGGAAGCTGGCCGGTACAGGGATCCAAACCCTGGACCTTGGTGTTACAAGGCTGTGCTCAAATTAACTGATCCAACCAGCCAGCCATTTATTCCTTTTCACTGCTGCGTAGTATTCCATTGTAATACCACGATTGGTTTATCCACTCACCTTTGAGGAACATTTCAGTTGTTTCCAGGTTGGGGCTGTTACAAAGCTGCTATGAGTATCCATTAAAGTCTTTGTGTGTATATACGTTTTCATTCCTCTTGAGTAAATGCGTAAAAGCGAAGCGGCATTTATCATATCTAGGGGTAGTAAACGTGCATACAAAGTTGTGAAGTATGTATTCGTGTGTGATGTGTATAGATTTTACAATAAATTGCTTTTTCCTTTATTTTGCTTTATATTACAACTAGTGTGGGGAACTAGGGCATTAAATTGATTGTTTTTTTTAATGCATGTGTCTGAGGTTATATATATATTTCTATTGATTTCATCTCAGGATAGTAAAGGACCATTGCCAAACGCTTCATAGAGAAAGGGAGTCTTTTTTTTTTTTTTTTAGCATATTCATTGTTACACATCATACTTATTCTTTATGCCCGTTATCCAATCTCTCCCCCTCCTCCTCCCCCTCTAAAAACCATAGGTTTGTTCTTTCCATCTGATTAACTGTTGAGAAAGGGGGTCTTGTAGATGGTAGGTTGAGAACTAGGGTCTATGCCTGGCTGGGCTCTTCCTATTCACGTGGATGGGTCTGAGCAGGAATTTGCATGGGTGGGACGGGGCTAGGGATTGGGAGGGGCACTGTCTTTCACTCATTCCACGTGGTTATATCCGACCCTCTTTTTTTGTGTG